TTTATCTAGCATAGCTGAAAAAAAAAAAAAAAAAAAAAAAAAAAAAAAGTCTTACCCATTGGTCCAAATGTACCTGTACCCATATTACCATTCACGGAATTATTCTTCTGTTCACTAGGTGCCTAAAAAAAATTTTTTTTATTTAACCAAATGAAGATTAAAAAAAAAATGTTTACATTATTATAACATGTTGCACCCATTCCCTTTTTTAATTTTTAAGGTTTTCTTAAACAATTTAAAGATTTATCCAAGTCCATTCAATGTTAAAATATTCATGAATGTTTCCCAAATCTTTCATCTTATTGTATTTTCTGATATTATTCCCCACTCCTCAAAATGCTAAATGGCACAGATACTTAATATATGACACTAGAGATATATATTGAGATACACAAACACACAGATTGAAAATGACTTTAAAAAAGAATCCTTTTTAAACTGTCTTCATTATACTCTGGGTATGACAGGGCTGGCAATCTCGCCATGGAATTATAGTACATGGTCATAGTACACAACTATACATTTGGAGTAATTACCCCTTTGTTTGGTTGTCCTCGATAATCTGGATTGGGTTCACTGAAATTTGGCACTTCTGAATAAACCATACAAAATCTGCAAGAAAATTAAGGACAAGTTAAATGACTTCTGAAGTAAAGTATCAACCTTTCTTTATCTAGCATGCATAACTTATAGGAATGAAGAATTTAGAGGTCAAATGAATTACCTAAAAAGCAACATACTAACTGTATTATAAGACAAACTTCTTAAATGCTTATGTTCCATAAAAGCACCCAATATTTGATTGCCTATGTGTGAAACATTTTTTTTGTATTTTAATTCTTCTTCTGTACCACAAAAATAAATCATGTCAAAGATCAAGGACTCAGAAACACATTTGTCCTGTTCTTCCACACAGGCTGAGGCCACTGAACCATGTTTAGGGTTCCAGAGTGGTTTTTCCAGCAGTAGTGAAGGATTAGCACTGATCCATTCACACACTCTCTCCAGTCCCTCTTTTGACCAAGCACTGTGAATCTGCAAAAATAATCATTCAAGATTAGGAGTGGATTCTGCAGGCATGAACAAAGACAACTGGCTATCAAAATGACAGTTTATCTCAATGCTTCTTGTAAGTTGACTGCGGTATATATATTAACATTACACACAAGCTCCTCACCCCACAAATAAGAAATTAGTAACTAGTTTTGGTAAATGCTAGACTAACCCTGACAAAGGTAACTCACTAAGAACTGAGTGACCTCCAGTGGTTCTTCACTTAACTGACCTCCATTATTATAAATACTTCTCTCTACATGGTCAGGACAGGACCCTTATCTTTCAGTAATACTGATGTTAAGCCCTTTCATAACACATTGCTCTAATGCTACTCTAAATACAAGCATAAAATATAACTGAATCCTAATTTCCTAGCAAAGACAGAGTTACCAGTTTCTGATCTTTAAAAGCTGGCAAGACCATTTATTTTTCCACACAAAATATCTTATCCCTGCAGTAAGAAAGAGAATTTTCCTTTATTTACTTATATTGTTATTTTCTGGGTGCCACATGTGGCATCTCTCTTCAAAGTTTATGAGTACATCCCAAATGCCTAGGCTAGCATGGAGGCTTAATTACCTTTACACCCCAAGAGAGGATGGTTCCTCCAAGTCAGGGTGGAGATTACCAAGGTAGTAAGTAGTGCATGGAAGCTCACAGTGCCTGTACGGTACCTAGACTGTGGATAAATATAGGACTTCAATTGTCACTGCTACAAGTCCTTTTACCATGAGTACATAATCACCCAGAAACAGAGAAAAAGAAAATTTAAACTCATGGCCAAAACCCATACCTAGCTTCTCATCTGGCAATTCACTAGAAGACAGAACCTACTTCAAATGGCACTTATGACACCTGAAAAATGCACATTCCCAAAACAGTATATTGATAACTATTCAACTAATACATACATGGAAAATTATTTTTATAGTTAACTTACTGAAGACATTCGGTTTACCAGTCAAAAACAAACCAAGGAAAAGGTTTCTAGTTTATACCTACCAGATATTTTAGTAGACATTATTTGTAATTTATTCATTTACACAAAATGTACTTAACACTTACTCCCCAATTTTTTGAAGTTCTCCACCCCTTCCAGTATAAAGTGTCAGACATCCTTTCCACATGGATGCATACCTAGAAAGAAAAGAAACATCAGTTCTGTAGAAATACGTATATTTTCTTCTACTTAAATTAAGTAAAGCTTCATACTAAATTTTTTATACTGGGTGCAGATGGGGATCAAACCCTGTCTACCATAGCAAATCAAATACAATTAATTAATCTAACTTTGATTGGTTAATTGATTAATCTAACTTCTTACCAAGTTCTTACTATTATTTCTTACCAAGAAACAATACAAAAAAAACTCTACTGCCCAATTTCGACATAATCATCTAAACTGCAACTCTAGAAAACAGGTCTTTTTGAAAAGCAAGCATCGTTATACTCCAAAGGTCACATCTTTAGTCAGTTAACAAAGGGAGAACTTACACATAGGGTTCCTAAGCCACAAAAAATTTGGTAAGATTTAATCAAGGAGCTAAAAAAACTAAGATCAAAAATCTTTCACCCATCTGCCTTTCCAAATTTGCAATTTTTAACACCAACTTGGCTGAACAATTATTTACTTCAACAATTTTGAATGCAAACAGCAACATTAGATAAAATAATCCTACACATAAACCACAGAAAAAAATGTAAATTAATCAGTATTTTAAAAATCAGTCCAAGGCTTGGTTTTCAGTGGTTCTTTGTACAACTACTAGGGTAACTTCATGACTTAGAATGATAAATTATAACTAAATAGTTTAACTAAGTATAGTGATAGTTCATCTTTTAATAGAGGTAATAAAAATTTGCTAATTCCCACATTATATATTTCTCTTCATTTATAAGGGTTATTTATTAAAGACCCCATTCACCAATCTTATGTTAGATAAAAAGTGACTCAGAAGGCAATGCACTAATATTCACCTTACTAAGAAAAAATTTAACTTTCACTTGTTTCAGGAATGAGATGGACATTTGCAGGGTTTTCTGATAAATATACCAATATTCAAATTACCATTACTAACATGTATACCTTTCTTCAAAGGCTGCTTTGTCTTAGATTCAACCAGAATTTAGGGGCCTTACAATGGACTGAACTCTGCTGGATGTATTATTTTAGTAAGTAAGGTATAATTATTCCCATTTTATATAAGAGGAAGTTGATGAAGTGTAATAACTTCAAGGTCACACTGAAGTTAGGAAATAGTAGTTTCTTTAGTTTTGAATTTCCCTTTAAATTGATTCCTAGGTAACCATATTCCTTAAAATCCTGTAGATACTATACAGCTACTGAATTTAGTTTTTCCAGCTTTTTGGATGGGCACATCTATTTATTTTCTCTGACTACAAAGTATGAAATATTTAAAAGGAGATGCTGTTTATAGTATATAAAAATACTTTAAATCACTAAGTAAGATACTTTGGCAGCCAAAACAACTTTAATTATGCCAATCCTCACCACACCCTCCCAGGTAGGAATTCTCTTTCCTGTAAGTTAATGATGTGGAAGTTTGAAGACACAATCTGTGTCATTATGAGTCAGTGTTATGAGAATAAAACATCTAAATCCTGACTCCCACTTCCTTCTTTGATGATACTCTGCCTCACTTCCTGAGGATGTAAGGCATGTAAGATATTATCACAGGGCTCCTACATTCAGAGTTATCCCACTCTTCTCTGAAATTCTATTTACTATGCCAACATCAATTTCCATCCACTTTTCCAATAGTTATGACCAATAAATTACAATTCTATTAACCACAAAGCTTCCAAACCTATTTTTAAGACCCTTTTCTGGCCTTTTCTCTTCCTAAGATAAAAATTTGGCAAATTTTTAAAGGCAGTCTAATTATCAAACAAACAAACAAACAAAGGTGGTGCGAAGTTATTTTTAAAAGCCAATCTTCCAACTGACTTTTTTGGATGAAGACACAGTTGTCTTTCTGCCAAACATTTTCTGCATATCATTCTGGTTTCTGTACCACACTTATTTTTACAGCACAGGCAGCAAGAAATCATTTTCAAGAACGTGCCTTCCAGATTTTGTAAACTTCCCCTCTAAATAAAATATGTACACGTAAAATATTGGCAGGATTCCATAAGTCATTAAAAAGGGAGAAAAGAAACTGACAACTATATTAAATTAAATAACTTATGTAAAAGGTAAAATATTGACTATGGTAATCTTATCCACTTTAGACTGAATAACCTCAGAACAGTATTTAAAAATTGATTTAACCTGTAAACTGAGGGCGGGGGAGGGCGTAGACTCCTGGCTGAAACTGACTGATTTCAAAGGAAAGGCTGCTACATCCTAACGCTGTCCACCAGCCAAAATTAACGCTGAAGGGGCTCAAAACCCCGGGGACTGGCCCACAGAACAGAACTGGAACTTTAAAACTTGACAAGGTGCCGGGGGTCAGCCAATTCGGATTCCACAGACTGCAACTTAGAAGACACTCTCCCCCACCCCCCTTTTATGCAAACCTACCCTCTGGTTAACCGAATAATATCTCCCGGCTGTATGAGACCTCCAATTTCGTCCCACACGGAAATAGTGATGCTGCCCGTTTTATCTGCTACTTTGCATGATCGCACTTCATGGCCGTCTTTGGTTTTGGTCACGCGTCCTATGAGGATTTAAACATGAAAAGGGGGGGGG